CCGCGGAACTGCGGGGCGGGCGCCGCGGGCTTGATCGCAGCCAGGGCCAGCGTGGCGGGGCCGGGGCAGAGGTCAGATGATGGGAGGCCTTCCCCGTGGACTTAGCTCGGTCGTGGCAGATCAGCTCCTGGGGTTTCGGGGGTTCACGTCTCCCAGCTGCTTTGGGCACTCCAGGCCATAGGGGAGAAGAGGAAGCCGGGATCCGGCTAGGAGGCTGTTGCCGTCCGCAGGTGGTGGGTGGACAGGCGAGGGGTAGGAAGTACATGGTGGAACTGACCGGCGGGCTTGCAGGAATGGGGGAGCAGTGGCCAAGGGCGACCTCGTCGCCGATCTGGGAGTGTAAGCTTGTTTTTGCTGGTGCTTTCTAGAAAGTGATTTTGGACTTGGTTGGGGCATGAGTCAAGAAACCTGCACGGCCCCCCCTGAGCTAGTTCCTCTTAAGTTGATGGGGCTTGAGTAACAGGTGAGGGCTAATGGAAGAACTGAGGATCCTGGAGGGAGAGGATAGAGAAGCCAAGCGCCAACCCTCGGGGCCCTCTAGGGTGGGATGGGGAGGAAGAGCCAGCAGACGAGACTCAGGAGTTCAGAGAGGCCAGAAGAAAACCCAGCAGCGTGGTGTGGCACCCAGGAGAGGGTTTCCCCAGCAGGAGGAAGTGGTCAGTGGTGCTAGATGCAGGCGTGAAGGGTCAGAGGGTGGGGAGACTCCTGGCCTGGTGGAGACAGGATGCAGCGTGCAGGAGGTGAGGGAGTAAGCAGAGCAGTTCTGCTCCAAGGGGGCCTGGGAGCAGTCAGCCCCCATCCTCATCCAGCATAGAGCCCGCCGCCTCTGCCCGCAAGGCCCCTCCCCAGAAGGCAGGAGCTCTGTCCTCCCTTATGGTGGGAAACTGGTCCAGAGATCAGGTGACCTAGAGTTGCAGGGCCACAGGACAGGGGCCAGGATTTGACCTTGGCGCCTTCTCCACCGACACCTGCAGCACTTCATGTGATTGTTGGGGAGATCGAGGGGAGCCAGAGCTGAGCCCCAGCTCTATCTACCCTGAAGTGGCAGCTCCTCCCAGCTCCCCGGCTGTACTGGGGGAGGAGGACAGAGTATGGAGTCCTGTCCTGCCCCTTTAAGCCTGGTTCCCCTTATAAAATAGAGCAGAGACTTCTCGCGACGTTGGTGGCTGCTCACGGGCTCAGCGAACCCAGGTGCCCGATAGTTGTACGTTAGGCGGTAGATGATGGCCTAGAGCCGCCTGGCGGGGCTTTCTGTTAAGGGTAGGTGACTTTCGGAGTGACAGGAGGAGAACGAGTGTCCACTCTGAGATGCTCCCTGTGGGCTGGGCTGCGTACAGGACTCCTGGACATGGGAACCTGCCCTGGTCTGCTGACAGAAAACAGGATTTGAGCCGTGGAGGGAGGCACAGGGGTGCTGGGGCAGAAACCACTCTACTGAAGGCCACTGCCCCGGCTGGCAGCTTGGGCGGGCAGCGTGGAGACAGTGCTCGAGAAGGCTCGGGGTCAGTGTGCCCTGAGATGGCTCACTCCCAAGCTCCGGTAATGCCGAGGTGGAGCAAGCCTGGCACAGGGTGGTAGTTGCACGTGCCTGCAGACTCTGGCGCCCAGGGAGCCGTGGGAAAGCCCCACCCTTACCTGTGAGACGGTCTGGTCAGCTCTCCCAGCTGCAGGAGCGGGAGGCCCTGCAGGAGCAGAGCAAGTCTCAGTACGTGGCCTGCCCTCCTAGGCCGCCTCACCCCCACGTGTTTCTCAAGGTCCCTTGACGAGAACACAGCCTCAGGTGTTTGAACTTCGGCACAGCTTGTGCCAGCTCCCAGTTTGTCTTGGAGAGTGGGGGACTCCAGCCCAGCTCAGAGTACACAGCAGAAAGTAACCTCGCCCTCTGGAAGGCTCTGTCCAGTGGGATCCAGGGAGGCTTCCAGCAGCAGGGGCGCTTCAGCAGAGGGTGAAGCCCCAGAGGCGGGGGCAGCGCACTCCACACGCACACGCACACACACACAGAGCGGAGGCTGGGAGGGAGGGGTCCATCTAGTCCCTGGGGCCCCCACACTTCAGGCTGGTAAGGGTTGATAAGGAGGCAGGGGATGGCAAGACCTGAGGCTGGCACTGCCTGAGGAGTGGCAGTGAGAGGGGAGGCGGGTATCTGTTTTTAATGCCTTAGTAAGCCCCCAAGGGGACTCCCCACACCACTGTCTTGCATCGAGTCCCCAGGCCACGTGGAGAACAGGGACGCCAGGTGGGCGGCCACGGGGCCATGGGGGAGCCCACTACCTACCACCCAAATCATCACGCCCGGCGCAAGCGCAGTGAAGGGAAAGTGGGGGCACCTGTGTCTCAGGGTGTCCATCAGGGG